TCTGTCTCTCTACAACATTGTAGAAAGTTTATTGAAAACTCTTAGCATGCCTTAGGAGAATATTCCTAGATGTTGGGGGTGGAGGCACAAAGTGGAATGGTTACGATGATTAATAACACTTAAGAAGAAGAGGGCTGGGGGCATAGCTCAGTGGTAGAACACTTACTTGCCTAGCATGTGTGAGGCCTGGGGTTCCCAGAACATTAAAAAAAAAAAATTCAGAGGGTAGACAGGCGTATGTGGTTTGCTTGAGGCTTATAACCAACTCAATAGACAACGCAGGCTGGCAGGGAACTTGTTCTACATTCAACATTCACATGGTTCTGGTTTCTGGCCCATGTGACCCAAGAGAGGAGCCATGCCAGAAACATGACAGTATCACACAATGCTCTCTGAGCCTCCACCCTGTGGGCAGGGTCTTATTTGACTGTGCTCTGATGTGTCACACGCTGTAAGTTTGCTGCCCCAATTTTCAAACACTCCAAGGAGAGACTGTCCCTCTCTCTGGATGTCCCTTCTGTGCTCATATGAAGAGCAATGCTGTCTTGAGTCTCTCAACAGGAGACACTGCAAGAGCTCCCCTCTTGGTGACTGTCCCCAGCTCTGTGGCCCATTCTTCCCCGGGGTGGGGGTGGGCTCAGAAGAAGGCACCACCTCATATTGAGTCACTCTGGAGACTGGAACCCAAGGGCTCCCAGAGCACTCTGATAAGAGAACTCGAATTGGACATGTTCAAGCATTTTCAGCAATCAAAACTCAAATTATTTTCAGCAAAGTGGCAGGATATAAAATCAACACGCATAAATCAAAGGCATTCCTGTATATCAGTGACAAATCCTCTGAAATGGAAATGAGGACAACCACTCCATTCACAATATCTTCCAAAAAAATAAAATACTTGGGAATCAACCTAACAAAAGAGGTGAAAGACTTATACAATGAAAACTACAGAACCCTAAAGAGAGAAATAGAAGAAGATCTTAGAAGATGGAAAAATATACCCTGTTCATGGATAGGCAGAACTAACATCATCAAAATGGCGATATTACCAAAAGTTCTCTATAGGTTTAATGCAATGCCAATCAAAATCCCAATGGCATTTCTTGTAGAAATAGAGAAAGCAATCATGAAATTCATATGGAAAAACAAAAAACCCAGAATAGCAAAAACAATGCTAAGCAGGAAGGGTGAATCAGGCGGTATAGCGATACCAGACTTCAAACTATACTACAGAGCAATAGTAACAAAAACAGCATGGTACTGGTACCAAAACAGGCGGGTGGACCAATGGTACAGAATAGAGGACACAGAAACCAATCCACAAAACTACAACTACCTTATATTTGATAAAGGGGCTAAAAGCATGCAATGGAGGAAGGATAGCATCTTCAACAAATGGTGCTGGGAAAACTGGAAATCCATATGCAACAAAATGAAACTGAATCCCTTTCTCTCGCCATGCACAAAAGTTAATTCAAAATGGATCAAGGAGCTTGATATCAAATCAGAGACACGCCGTCTGATAGAAGAAAAAGTTGGCTACGATCTACATACTGTGGGGTCGGGCTCCAAATTCCTCAATAGGACACCCATAGCACAAAAGTTAATAACTAGAATCAACAAATGGGACTTACTCAAACTAAAAAGTTTTTTCTCAGCAAAAGATACAATAAGAGAGGTAAATAGAGAGCCTACATCCTGGGAACAAATCTTTACTCCTCACACTTCAGATAGAGCCCTAATATCCAGAGTATACAAAGAACTCAAAAAATTAGACAATAAGAGAACAAACAACCCAATCAACAAATGGGCCAAGGACCTGAACAGACACTTCTCAGAGGAGGACATACAGTCAATCAACAAGTACATGAAAAAATGCTCACCATCTCTAGCAGTCAGAGAAATGCAAATCAAAACCACCCTAAGATACCATCTCACTCCAGTTAGATTGGCAGCCATTATGAAGTCAAACAACAACAAGTGCTGGCGAGGATGTGGGGAAAAGGGTACACTTGTACATTGCTGGTGGGACTGCAAATTGGTGCAGCCAATTTGGAAAGCAGTATGGAGATTTCTTGGAAAGCTGGGAATGGAGCCACCATTTGACCCAGCTATTCCCCTTCTCGGTCTATTCCCTAAAGACCTAAAAAGAGCATGCTACAGGGACACTGCTACATCTATGTTCATAGCAGCACAATTCACAATAGCTAGACTGTGGAACCAACCTAGATGCCCTTCAATGGATGAATGGATAAAAAAAATGTGGCATTTATACACAATGGAGTATTACTCTGCATTAAAAAATGACAAAATCATAGAATTTACAGGGAAATGGATGGCATTAGAGCAGATTATGCTAAGTGAAGCTAGCCAATCCCTAAAAAACAAATGCCAAATGTCTTCTTTGATATAAGGAGAGCAACTAAGAACAGAGTAGGGTCGAAGAGCAGGAGAAGAAGATTAACATTAAACAGGGATGAGAGGTGGGAGGGAAAGGGAGAGAGAAGGGAAAATGCATGGAAATGGAAGGAGACCCTCAGAGTTATACAAAAGTACATACAAGAGGAAGTGAGGGGAAGGGGAAAAATAATATAAGGGGGACAAACGAATGTCAGTAGAGGGAGCAGAGAGAGAAGAGGGGAGGGAGGGGAGGGGAGGGGAGGGGAGGGGAGGGGGATAGTAGAGGATAGGAAAGGCAGCAGAACACAACAGACACTAGTATGGCAATATGTAAATCAATGGATGTGTAACTGATGTGATTCTGCAATCTGTATATGGGGTAAAAATGGGAGCTCATAACCCACTTGAATCAAATTGTGAAATATGATATATCAAGAACTATGTAATGTTTTGAACAGCCAACAATAAAAAATTAAAAAAAAAAAAAAAAAAAAAAACTCAAATTATTTAGCAAAGGAATTCATTCCTATTTGAGATTTTCTTAGGGTTTGGGTCTGGACTGTCCCCCAAAAGCTCATATATTAAAGACTTGATCCCCCATTCAGCAATGTTCAGAAGTGGGGCTGTGGGGGAGTGGTTGGATCATGAAGACTCTGAATTCATCAATAATTTATCCTTCCATGAAGTCAAAGATGCACGATTTATTGGGAGGTTGTAGAAACTTTAAGAGGTGGACCTTGGGGTTGGGGCTCAGTGGAAGAGCACTCGCCTAGCACCTGTGAAGCACTGGGTTTGATCCTCAGCACCACATAAAAATAAATAAAATATTGTTTCCATCTACAACTAAAAAAAAAAAAAAAATTTAAGAGGTCAGTCTTAGTTGAAGGGAGTGACTCCTTGGGGTCGTGCCTGTAGGGACTACATCTTACTCCCAATCCCTTTTCTATTTCTTGGGCACACTATGTGAGCAGTTTTGCACTACCACATCTTTCTGCCAGATGAGGCTAGAGAGTGACTCTTGACAGGCCGTGGGGATAGTGAAGTTGCTAGAAGAATCTGGGGAGAATAAAAGCCACTGGAAGGTTTTGAGCAGAGCTGACTTATACTCTGGAAGGATCCCTCTGGGGCTGGGTCCAGGGCAGAGGCAGGTGCACTAGTAAGGAGTTATTGCTACTGCTAATAACCTGGGTGACAGATGCTGCTGCCTGGGACCAGGGTGCTGGAAGTAGTGATGTAAACAGTGGTAACCTTCTGGATTTGTTGTGAAGGTAGAGACGTTCGGCCTGCTGATGGATAGGATGTGAAGAACAGGAAAAAAATAAAGGCATTAAGGATGACCCAGGCTTTTTAATCTAAGCAACTGAGAATGGAGTAGCTATGTGCTGAGCTAGGGAAGTTGTGGGAGGGCAGGTTTGGAGGGGCTGTAGTTTGGATATAGCTTGTCCCTTGAGAAACTCTCCTTAGGGTTTAATTTCCACTATAAGGCATACAGAGGGTGGAAACTTAATGTGACTATGGTGTTTCGAGGTAGTGAAGAGATTAGGGTTAGATATGGTCATCAAGGGTGATTACTCCCATGACTGAATGCTGGTGGCTTTATAATAAGAGGAAGAGAGAAGGGAGGCAGTGGGGACAGACAGACACGTGCATGCTGTTTCTCACCATGTAATGATCTGTATCACCTTAGGACTCTCCTAGCAAGAAGGCCATTGCCAGATGAGGCCACTCAACTTTGAACTTCCAGAACTTTCTTTTATAGCCCACCCAGTGTGTGTGGTATTATGGTATCAGCAACAATTTTTTAAAAAAGCACAATGACAGAAGAGTACTATGGGAGCTCACTTTTGAATAAAGCTGAGATACCTGTCAGGCATCCAGGTAGAAATGGGCTGAAGGTAGTTGGCTGTTCATATCTGGAGATCATGGGAGGGGTCTGGGCTAGAAACAAGTGGTATTGTCAGCACAGACTGGATTTAAAGCCATGAGTCTGGGTGAGATCTCAGAGACAGGGTGTAGAATAAAGGAGGCCCCAGGCCCCTAGAAGGTGGGGAGATGAGGACAAAGGCCAGCGAGAAAGGGGAAACTGGGAGAAAGTGATGTCCTAGAAGGAGAAAGGTAGCAATGACCATGTTCCCATTATCAAACCCTTGAGACCAAGTCATCTACAGTGGACTCAGGATCAGACCGAGGGGCATACTCCACACGTAAACTTGAGTTGCAACCTACACTTACATCTGAGGGATTAACCTTTATCCTTGGGTGTCAGTAGCCCTTTGAGAATCTTTATGGACACTGTGGATCTTCTCCTCAGAGAAATGCAGACACATGCAAGACAGTGGACTGTCTCTGAGGTTCCTGGAGCCAGTGAAGCCCATGCCAGGAGGCGGGTCCACAACCAGCCATTCCCCACCCTACGGCATTAACCAAACTGCCTCGCTGAAGAAATTCAGGCATCCCAGGTCCTCCAGCTTCCTCAGATAGGTTTCCAGGGGGTAGAATGAGTTAGGTTCTCTGGGTTGATATTGGGTTGGGTGGGGCACGAAATTTGAAGAGACTGATATAAGGCTCAAAGCAACTGAGAAAATAAATAGAGGACTCACCATCATCTCCTGCACCAGAAACATCTCTGCACCACTGGATGACAGTCGGTTGGGGAAGGAGATGCTGACAGATGACCCCGGAAGGGTGCTGGGGCCAGTGTTATAGACCTGTGGGTGTGGAACACACAGAGCACATTTCAGTGGAAATAAGAGAGCTTCATTTCATGTCCTGAAATATGTACTCCACATACAGATGCTCCAGGGGTGGGAGCTAAGTCATAACTCTAGGAGAAATAAGATGCTGAATGGTGGGGAATTTTAACAAAATTCTTAATGAACATCCTTCAAATAGGCACCTAAAAACCTCAGACTTCCAAAGTACCATTCCCTTTTAACATTTTCTTATCCTCTTCTTCTTACTAAAGATTATATTTATTTTGACATACCAATAAATTAGACTATTACACTGGGTGGGAAAGCAGACATAATAATTTAGTTCAGTGGTTCTCAAATTTCAGCATAACATCAGAATCACCTAGGGGCTTTTTAAAACACAGACTTGGTAGTGAGGGGTGAAAGGGGGGTCATGCCAAGAGCTCCTGAGGCAGTAAGCGGGGTGAAGCACCAGCATTTCTAGTAAGTTTCCAGGAAGCTGAAAGCATGGTACACACTCATAATTCCAGCTACTTAGGAGGCTGAGGCAGGAGGATCATGAGTTCAAGGTCAGCCTCAGCAACTCAAGGAGGCCTGTTTCAAAATGTAAATAAAAAGGGCTGGGGTGTAGCTCAGTGGAAGAGTGCCCCTGACTGCAGTCCATAGTACAAAAAAAAAAAAAAATTCCAGGAAATGCTGCTGCTGACCCAGAAGCCACCCCTGAGAACCACTAATGTCTACTTCCTTTCTTTTACAGTCTGAGGTAACTGAGACCTTCAAAGACCAAATGGGTTGTCCTAAAACCAAGTGATCTAATAGTATAGAAAGGGCTATTTTTACTACACTATCCAGCTCATTTAGTTTCTGTGCAATTTATAGATAGTCATGTGTTAACACTGTTTGATGGCCTCTGTGCCTCTTTTCTATCCTAGCATTTGGTCCTATAAAACTTTCCCCTTCTCCTCTTCTCTATCATCCTTTTTATTTTCTGTCTCTAGAAGCCAGTCATCTCCCAAGAAATGAGGGAAAAGAGGAAAGAAACCAAAAAGGGTGAAGACAGAGCAAAGGCTGATCATAAGTAGAATCTGGAGGAAAAAAGAAAGAAACAAAAGGTGAGTTGATCTTTGGGGACAGAAAGAAGCTCAGGACTGAGGGCAGGGAGAGTAGGGAGGGTTATAGACAAGCAGGTGAACAGGACCTCAAAGATGTCCATGTCCTAATCTGTGGAACCTGTGAACATTATGCTACATGAAAAGATGGAATCATGGTTGCCAATCACATGACCTCAAATAGATTATTTAGGATTATCCCAGTGGGCACATTTAATCACGAAGGCCCTTATAGAGAGAAGAGGGAGGCAGAGAAGTCAGTATCAGAGAGAGACCCCAATGAAAGTTTTGACTGGTCATTGCTCACTTTGAAAATGGAAGGGGCCATGGGCCAACTAACTCACACAACCTCCAGAAACTGTAAAAGGCAAGAAATGAATCCTCCCCAGACCCTCGGTGAGGAACACAGTCCTCTAAGGCTTTGATTTTAGCTCTGTGAGACCCATTTTGGACTTGTGGAGCTCAGAGTCGTATGATAATAAATGTGTGCTGTTTAAAGCCATTAATTATGTGGTATTTGGTTACAGCAGAAATAGGAAATTAATCCAGACTTACCTCACTTTATGATACTTCATTTTACTGTGCTTTGACGACACTGCATTTTCTTATAAATAAGAAGTTTGGGACAACCCTGCATCAGGAGAGTCTATTGGTACCAATATGCCCATATGTTGTTAGTGTGTCATATTTTGTTAATTATCACCATATAGTAAGTTGTTTCATGATTATTACATCTCTTGTGGTAATGGTGATCTGTGGTCAGAGATTGTTTTTTCCTTTTGCAATGTTGGAGACCTGCCCAGGGCCTTGCACGTCCTGACAAGTGGTCTCTCCCTGAGCTACATGCCCAGCCATGTGGTCAGTGATCTTTGATGTCACTCTCCTAACTGGGGCTGCCATGAAGGGCGCCCACATAGGAAAGCAAACTCTTTTGATAAATGTGTGTGTTCTGATGGCTCCACCAACACCTGTCCCATCTCCCTTCCTCTCCACAGTCCTTCCTGTTCCCTGAGATTTCCTTCCTTTTACAGCCTGAGGTAACTGAGACCTTCAAAGACCAAGTGGGTTGTCCTAAAACCAAATGATCTAATGTATAGAAAGGGCTGAAATTCGGCCTGAACAATTCTCTAGTGGCCTCTAAATGCTCAAGTGAAAGGAAGAGTTGCACATCACCTAAATCAAAGTTAAACGTGGTTAAGTGTGAGGAGGAAGGCATGTCAAAGCCAAGACAGGCCAAAAGCTGGGCCTCTTGACCAGTTGGCCAAGTTATAAATTCAAAGGAAATGTTCCTGAAGGAAATGCAAAGTGCTCTTCCAGCAAACACGTGCATGATTCCTGATAGAAAGAAAATTTCAGTGGTCTAGAGAGATCAACCACCCACGGAATTCCCTTAGGCCAAAGCCTAATCCAGAGCAAGGCCATCACTTCCTTCAATTCTTAGGAAGGCTGAGAGAGAGGAGGATGCTACAGGAGAAGCAGTCTGAAGCTAGCAGAGATTGGTTTGTGAGGTTTAAGAAAAGATGCCATCTCCTTAATATGAAAGATCAAGTGCGGATGGAGAATCTACTGCAAGTTATTCAGATCTATCCATGGTAACCGAAGCAGGTGCTACATCAACAGCACATTTTAATGTAGACAGCTGAGTCTTACATGGGGCCATCTAGGACTTTCATAGCTAGAGAAGCAAGGCCAATGCCTGGCTTCAAAACTTCGAAGGCCAGCTGACTCTTATCAGGCACCCATGCATCTAGAAACTGGTGACTTAAGTTGAAGCTAAGACTCATTTGCCATTCTGGAAATCCCAGGACCTTTAAGAATTACACTAAATCTGCCAGTCATGTGGTACATGCTTGTAATCCCAGTGACTTGGGAGGCCGAGGCAGGAGGACTACAAGTCTGAGGCCAATCTCAGTAACTTAGCAAGACCATATCTCAAAATAAAAAATAAAAATGGCTAGGGATGTGGCTCAGTGGTTAAGTACACCTGGGTTCAATCTCTTGTACGAAAAAAAGAAAGGAAGGAAGGAAGGAAGGAAGAAAGAAAAATTACCATGCGATTTAAGTAAACCAAAAAGCCTGTGTGAAAGCACATCTGTTCCCAGCATGGTTAACAGAATATATTAAGCCCATTGTCGAGATCTACTGCTCAGAAAAAGAGTTCTCTCAAAATCTCAAAATATTACTGAAAACTGATGATGTATCTGGTCACTGGAGAGCGCTGATGGAGAAGTTCTACAAGATCAATGTTGCTTCCATGACTGGCAACACAGCACCCATCTGCGGCCCAGGGATCAAGGAGTGATTTCAACTTTCAATCCCTATTAGTTAAGAAATACATTTAATCAGCCTGTAAGTTGTCGTGGATTGTGATTCCTCTGACCAATCTGGGAAAAGCAGGAAAAAGCTTTAAAAAGCAGGATTAACCATTAAGAACATTCATGATTCATGGCAGAAGGTCAAAATACCAATGTAGCAGGAGTCCGGAAGAAGGTGATGCTGACTCCCATGGATGTCTTTGAGGGGTTCCAGACTGCATTGGGGAAGTATTTGCAGACATGGTGGAAATAACAAGAGAACTCTCATTTAGAAATTGAGCCTAAAAAGGTGACCGAACTGCTGCAAACTCACAAGACGACTTTAATGGATGAGGGACCACTTCTTATGCATGAGCAAAGAAAGTGGTTTCCTGAGACAGAATTCACCCCTGGTGAAGATGCTGTGAAGATCATTGAGATGACAACCAAAGATTTAGAATGTTAGATTTAGTTGATAAAGCAGTGACAGGTTAAAGGGGACTGACCCCAATTTTGAAGGAAGTTCCACTGTGGGTAAAATACTACAAATGGCATCGCTCACTATAGAAAAATCTTCCATGAACAAAAGTTAATCGACATGCAAACTTCATTGTTGCCTCATTTTAAGAAACTGCCTCAGCCATGTCCCCCTTTAGCAGAGAACACCCTAATGATCAGTTTAGCAGCCATCAACATGGAGGCAAGTCTCTTTACCAGCACAAAGATTACAGCCCACTGAAAGCTCAAAAGACCTTTACCAATTTTTAGCATTCAAGTATTTTTGGGTGGGGGTTACTAGGGATTGAGCTCAGGGGTGCTCAACCTCTGAGCCACATCCCCAACCCAGCTTTGCGTTTTATTTAGAGACAGGGTCTCACTGAGTTGCTTAGCACCTTGCCGTTGCTGAGGCTGGCTTGGAACTCATGATCCTCCTGCCTCAGCCTCCTGAACTGCTGGATTACAGGTGAGTGCCACTGTACCTGGGACATTCAAGTATGTTTAAGTTAAGGTATGCATGTTATTTTTTAGATATAATGCTATTGCACACTTAATGGAGTATAGTATAGTATACACATAATTTTTATGTGAACTGGGAAGCCAAAAAAATTCCTGTGACTCACTTTATTGTGATGTTTGCTTCATTGCAGAGGTCTGGGAGAAAACCTTCAATGTTTCCAAGGTACATCTGTATATCACTAATGGGAATAGGGTTTCTTTGGGGGGTGACGAAAATGTTCTAATATTCAATCATGAGGATGGAAACATCATTCTGTAAAAGTACTAAAAATCATTGAATTGTGTACTTGAAATAGATAAACTTTAAGGTGTGTAATAATAGCTCAATAAAGATGTTCTTTTAAAAGATGAGTAAAAATTATACGAATTTTTTTGGGGAGTGGGGGGGGGTGTCCCAGATTGAACTCAGGAGCACTCGACCACTGGGCCACATCCCCAGCCCTATTTTGTACAATTTTAATGTGTGGGAGATGGAGATGAGTGGGAGAGAGGAGGAAAGGAACCGATGCCTGGCATTTTGGGACTAGATAGATTCAGGGTTCAAGGTGACTGTGAAGCTGAAGTCAGAAGGGCAGAGCCAGAGAAGGGTGGACATCTAACCAGGTCTTCCCATATGACTGGAATGAAGAGCAGCTAGCTCCAGCCAGCCTTTCCCCCAGAACAGTAGCTGGTTTTGTTTCAAAGAATAGATAAACATTGATAGAGCAGATGAACGGTCGTGGCCAACTCTTGATTCAAAAAGAACAAGATTCACCAAAAACAACAGCCCTGAGACACAAGACAGGGCAGGAGTCTCCAACCACAAGTGAAATAACTAATTTGAAGTGAAACATGAGAACACAGAACTGAAAAGAACCCTCTTGACATGTCTGGGAAATCCCAATTAGAGCATGAATGGGGGTAAAGTTTGAGAAAAAAATTCACTTGAGCCATGTTGCTTATCAGAGCCAGGCCTGAGGGGAGAGTTTGAATTATCATATTTATTTAACAATATCTTAACATTTGATTTTCTGGAAATGTTCATGTGTAACGTCTGTATTACTTCCCCCCATTTCCAGGTGGGGAAATGCTTTGACTTCTAATGCAAAAACAAAACCCCAAAGTCTACCAATGGTCAACTAATTACTGTGTCTGTTTTTAAAAAAAGAAACAACAAAGCTGATAAAATGTAGAAAGCAAACCCAAGACTAGTATCTCTTTCTCTCATCTGCATTTAAGGTGGAGTCCTTAAAGAATTACGTTGTTTATTGAAGGATGGATTTTAAAAGACACTGGAAAATCTGTACTAAGTCTTATGTTCTTCTTCAGGAATGAGGTTTCTAGAAAGTAGAAAAAGAAGAATTTTCTCCCTATTCCTGACCCCTTTTCTCCCCTAGTATCTCCATCTCTTGGTTGTTACCACCACCAACACTAGTCAGTGACCTACCTGCAGGACATTGTAACAACAGCAATTCTACCAAAAAAAAAAAAAAAAAAAAAAAAGAGTCATCAGAGACCTCTCAAGGAAATGGTGGACTTTGCTAATGCAGAGGCATCACCCTCTGATCAATGGCACCTCTATCAATCTCTCAGACCAGCCGCCTGGCTCAAACTTGGACTGAATGCTATGCACCTCCTCGGGCATAAACTCCTGGAGCAGTTTACCCAAGGGGCAGGCCAATCACTCATTACTGGGGACAGGACTCAGCAGCCTGGGTCCTGTTTTAGGTCAGATGTGAAGAAAAGCTATGGGCTTAAACACCAAACTTAAAACTCCCTGTAAAAATACCTTTAGAGAAATGACTGCAAGATTTCCTTCTTCCAACTCCCATCCCTTCTTCATTACATGGTCTGCCTCATTTAAACCATTCTAAACCATTTTCTGGACTCTCATCTTTTATTGCAAAACATCTCAAAAATTACAAGAAGAGAATATAAACAATTAAAGTGAAGTAAATCCACTTGGTCTTTATCTGTTTTCTATCCAATTGCAAAAAAACAAAGGGAATGATACACCAACTCTGAGAAGCAATTCAGAGACACAGAGGTGTGATTCACAGCTCTCGGTCTCCAAAGAAAGCCCAAACCCCATCTTTTACTTTCTCCCTTGTAAATCAAGGACAGAGTGTGACAGCTGGAGCTTAGCTGGTCAGGAGGCTCATCCTCTCTGAGCCGGGGACATGTGTTATCCATCATGGTTTCGGAGGTCTCCTGCCTGCGAGAGCACTCTGGAGAGAGGGAGACTATTGTCTGCAAGAGCCCACAAATGTTTTATTGCCTCATTCTCTTGCACCCTCGCCCCACCATTATTTGTCAGCCCCTAAATCCACTTAGGAGAGGCCGAAGGAAAAGAAAAATAATCATTATTTGGCCACAATAGTGAATACCAGGGTGAGAAACCATTCTTTCCATGGGGGAAGGATGGAAGAGACAGTAAAGAACTCTGAGAGCAGGTACTGGGAGTTCTAAGAGGTGAACTTCAGGGTTCTATGGGTGAGACAAGCCATTTCTACTTTATTTCATCCACAGCTCTGGGTCAAGTGGGGTCTGGTCAAAGCATGACCATTCCTGGCCCAGTCCTGCCTCACCCAGTTCTGGGACCTCGAGCACATCTTTCTTGCTTGGGCCTACATTTCCTTGTTTGTCCTTTAAGAAGAATGGACTAGATAATACTGATCTCCCTCAAACTTCGTATTCATAGAGGCACATGTTGAACAGCTGGCCTGAGAGTTCATACTTTAAAAGCAGGGATCAGCAAACTGTGGCCTATAGAACAGATCTGGTCCCATGCCTGTTGCATAGCCTGTGCACTAAGAATTGTTTAAGTCATTAAATGGTTGGAAGGGGAAAAAAAAATCAAAACAACAATGGCATTCATGACATGTAAAAATTATGTGAAGTTTGAATTTCAGTGTTCATAAACTAAGTTTTATTTATGTAATGTCCATAGCTGCTGTTATGGTTTAGGTATAAGGTGTCCCCCAAAAGCTCCTATGTCAATGCAAGAATATCTAGAGGTGAAATTATTAGATGATTAAATTATAACCTAATCAGTTCATCCTGGTTTGAATGGACTAACCAGGTGGTAACTGTAGGCAGGTGATGGGGCATAGCTGGAGGATGTGGGTCACTAGGGCTGTGTCCTGGACGAGTGCATTGTCTCTGTGGCTCCTTTCTCTCTTTGCTTCCTGGCTGCAATGAATTGAGCAGGATTCCTCCACCACACTCTTCTGCCATGATATTCTGCCTCACCTCGGGCCCAGAATAATGGACTCAGTTGACCATAGACTAAACCTCTGGAACCATGACCCCAAATAAACTTTTCCTCCTCTAAGTTGTTCCTGTCAGATATTTTGGCCCCAGTGAGGAAAAGATGACTGACACAGTGTCTTTTGAGCCTCAGTAGGTAGCATGGCTGAAAAGTTGCCACAGAAATTGTGCAGCCCGCAAAGTCTAAAACATTTCTTTCTGGCCTTTTTCAGAAAGTTCGCCAACCCCTAATTAAGTGAAGGGACAATGTGCTTCATAATGTCCACATTCCGTAGACCTGCTGGAGAAGACATGTGATTGGGATGACCCCACCCTGGCTCAATGAGGGAGCATGCGCTTCTTCCCGTATAGTGGTGGGTGGGAGGGTCACATGGGCTCACACTGCTTTGCCTCTATAAAACCACACTTCTGAAAGTCTGTTCTCCTAGGGGAGGATGAGCTTTTGGCTGAGTTTGCATGAAAATCCCAGGAAGAAGAGAAGGCAGCAAACCTTCTGGGGCTCCTCTGAGCCCAAGGTGAATGAATGAGAGAGAGGAGATTATGGGACTATTGGAGCTGGGATATGGATCTAGGTCTCAGCCATCCAAGGCCTTCTTAGGGGAAGCTGCTTTGCCTGGTGGGGCTCTCCTTTCAAGTCTTGAAAAGTAGAGGGGACTGCCTGGGTGGGGTTACAGAGAATACGCACTCACACACATGCACACAGTAGCAAACCAGGCTGGGGTTTCCTCTGAAAGCAGCCTGGCCCTTTAGCTGCCTTTCAGAAGGAGACACGTCCTGTGGCCTTCTGTTGGCTCCCAGTGACAGAGGGTTTCTAGGGGTGGGTACCTGAAGGGTGACGTTGAGGGGCTGGAAATGGCACTCCAGGTCATCCAGCTGAATGAAGTTGGAGGCATCCACAGACTCGCCATACACAAAGGAGGTCGGAGATATGATTCTGGAAGAGGAAAGTAGGGAGGTCGGCATCCCCACCCATTGTCCACGTCCACGTCCACGGCACTGCCACCGCAGCCCTGGAACCCATCATCTGTTTGTTTCATCCTGTGTCTCCCACCAGATGCTTCCACCCTGACTGTGACTTTTTTCTCCTGTGAATGGACACAGCCAGTCTGTGCTAACCAGATTGTTCTAGTATCTCTTCTCACCTGAGGTCACATTGATAAGCTTCATCTACACTATACAATGGGATTACACTTCTAAAATAAAGAGGTTTTTTAAAAATTGAAGCCATGGCGACTTTTTACAAAACTGGACTCCAAATTTATGGATTTTCTGTTTTGTCACTTGAAAAACATTTTGTGGGTCAAATAGGCCTATAATAAGTTTTCAAGAAATAAATGCAAATCAATCGTATATTTGGCATCCTAAGCCCCACCCTGTGACAAATTCATTTTAAAAACTTAAATTTGTCAGACTACCACAATCACTAGAAATTAGACACTGGAGAGCTAAGGCAATGCAAAACGGCATTTCCCCTAAGGTTTCAGACCGTGGCTACCTGAGCAGTGATTGAGAATTCAAGCTCGGTCTGTAGCAATACTTTCACCATTGCTTATGTGAACAGACCCCTGAGGGGAAAAAAAAAAAAAAAAGAAGCTCAGACTTACACCCCCAAATAACAAATGCTAGGAGCTTGAAGCTGCTCACCTAAACACAATGGAAGGTTTTGGGGACCAAGTCCAAATAGACAACCACCCATCTATTTTCAAAAGTTAAGCGAATTATTTTAGAAACAGTGAGTTCTCAGCATTGCCAAATGGCAAGAACTGGTTCATTTGAACTCATCCTGTTTTACATTTCTGGAAAGATCAGAGGTTGACTCATTTGTTTAACTGATGGCTTCAGCAGGGGCTGTTAACACCTCACAAAGAGGTCTCCCGGAAGACCTGACAACACCATCCAGTGTGTGTGGGAGGTGTTTTCTCTTTATCCCCAAGGATGGGACTGGATTCTGGGTACATTCTCACTGTGCCTTGGGCAGGACAAATAAATAAACCATAGGGTTAAAAATAGAGCTGCGAACAGAGGCAAGTATATGCTAATTTGCAAATATATTCCACCAACGCCTCGCGTCTAAAAAATGTGGTGAAAATGCCAAGAACCAAGGAGCAGAAAGGCAGGGCCACAGTTCTGCTGGCTCCCGACAGAGCAGGAGCCAGGGCGGGATGGCTCCTCCCACGACTGGTCAACGTTTCCACTTGGAGCCAAGACGGAGACCCAGAAGCCCTTGAAAATTGAAAACCGAGAAACTGTGAACCTCCAGAAAGTTCAGCCTGCATTTGGGTCAAGGGTTCAACGGGTCCTCATTTGATCTAAACCAACTGTGCAAATCTTTTTTCCACTATCAAAGAGGTATGCATGCATTCTGTTTGCTGAAGCTGGAAACAGGAACAGAGTTTCTCATTTTTCCAGGCCTGGGCTTTGGCTGAAAACGGACCCTGATTGTTGCGGGTCCCTGCAGACCAGAACCTGCAGCCCTGCTTTCCAATAATGCCAGCAGCCCTGAGCCATGGACCTCATCCAGGCAGGTGGTGTGGCGCTGTGCTGGGTCCCTGCCTGTTCCAATCCATACAGACATCAAGCCATACAGACATCTCAGCTTTGCAGAGAGTTCACAGAAACATGGAAAGCCAGCACCAACTGTGAAGCAATTAAGACAGGCAGCCCTCCCGTGAGTCAGGACTTTGGGACACATCTGGCTGTAACCTCTGGCCCAACAGGTTTTGGCTGAGATTTTAATCCCAGGAACCATATTATCTACCACCATATGGCATTCTGTGGCGGGGCTGGTCTGGGACTAGAAGTATATAAAGATGTATGGAATGTTCAAAGAAGTTACGGAGTTTAAACTTGTCATCAAACTTCTGTTACTAACCAGGTGGGTGGGTAGCTGGGTCACAGGAGAAATAAAGACAGGAGAGTGTCAGTCACTACAGCTCAAGCTTCATTCTGCTTTTCAAGGCTTGGGGGAGGTGACAGGGCTCCTAGCTCCTAACTGGCTCCATGTACAGACACAGGAGATGCAGAGCATTCTACTGGAGGGCACCCCTGTGTTCTGGCAACCCAGGGCTGGGCTACTCACCCAGTGATGGACGTGTCCACTTCGTGCATCAGCGGTACTGTCAGTGTTAAGGTGTTGTCGTGCAAGGCCTCAGAGCGCTCCACGTTGCCACTGTATGGGGAGAGAAGAATGAATGAATGCTGGCCAGTGCTAGCCAGCCTGCAGAGGGCTTGCTTGCCCCACACTGGAGCCAAGGACAGATTCAGCATACTTGTCCCCAGTTCCATTTTTGGTAGAGTCCCTTGTTCAGAGACAGTCTACGGAATTAGTTGTGTTCCACTCACAAAAACGTTAAGGGCAAGCAGCTTATGCAAAGTACACCTCAGCCTTCCCCACTGAGGGAGTGGGAGCTGGGCCTTTATCCACTAAGTCCTGGAGGCTGCTGAGGTGAGGCAAGGAAGGGACTTGAATTCCCTGTACCTCCCTGCCTCACAGGTGAGCGGGATCCAGTCAGAGAAACCTTGGCAGGGTGGCAGGAGCCGACGAGAGTCAGTGCTGTCTTGTGGGGATGCAGGTAGAGCACCTCCTCTGTGAGCTGCATCGTGCTTATCCCACAAAGAGTGGGCCAGGGAGCTTAGAGCTCTGGAGTCGGGGAAGGGTTGCTATTTGCCACCTGGAAGGCTCACCCTTCATCCACAGTCAGTCAAGCCCAGGAGAGAGGCCCTAGCAACCGTGCCTCCATAAATATCCTGGACCCTCTTGCAACAGATGCACTATAGCATCTCTCACCAAGGCACCCCCAGGCGAGGAGCCCCTCAAAAAGGTCACAGTCACATTGCAAGCTAGACAGAGCTGAGACTCCAACCAACTTAGGCTCTTTCCACTGTGATTCCTTCTCCTGACACCAGACTGGGGGGCAGGGGACAGGAGGAGATGGCAGCAAAAAGGAGGGAGAGAGAAAGAGAGAGAGAGAAGACCTAGTTTCCCTGTACTATATTATGAAACTTTAACCTGAATTGGGGCGATTCTTCCAGGGAAGCAGCTGGAAAAGGCAGGGCTGTTGGTGCCTATTGCTGAACCAGCACTCAGAGCTGGTTCCACCACAGGAATAGAAGGGGGATCCCAGCCAAAAGCCAAGTTCACCCTCCAGAGGTAGGACCTAAGAGTCCCCAGGTCCTACTGAGGTTCGATCACAGTGGGTCCTGACCTCTCCCCACCATACAGTCCCCTGAGCATCTGCTGAGTCCTGCCTGCCCCGTGCCCTCCCTCCACCCCACCACCTTCCTCTTCCATTCATCAAGTGCTGAATGGCAGCAGTACCTAAATAGCTGTCACATCCTCTCTCCCTCTCTCTATTGTTCTGAAACAATGGTGCTCTGTGACTCTGACCCTGCACGGCCACAGTCACTGCTCCTGGATCCTCATCTGTCTTCCGTACATGGGATGACATCAGTCCCTCCCAGGGCAGCCACACCATGTAGCAGCAGCAGGGTCAGGTGCCCACCCAGCCTGACTTCCTTGCCTTTCCTTTCCCAGGGGATGATAAAAACCTTGAAGTCATTGCCATGGGCGGAGTAGGGGCGACTCCCCTGTTGATGGGATGGCACCGCCCTGGCCTGATCCCTTTTCCATCCCTCCAGCATCCTGCCAGGTCTGAGCAATTGGCTCCTGATGGAACAGCCACCCCTTGCTCTGCCATTTGTCCAGCCCACCTGTGGCTGCTGGCAGATCTGGCCCGACAGTCTCATCTGTCATCGGGTAACGGCTCCAGCATGAGCTAAGTTGAAAAGTTGAGATAAAAAGGCCAAACATCAAAAAGGCTCCCTGCCATCCCAAAGCCCATTCTCTGGGATGCGTTCCAGAGGTCTGCAAAGCTAGGCTGCCGGCTGCAGAGAGGAGAGGTCTGAGACACTGTTTAGTCTCCACTTTATGCCCTCCTAAGCCTACAAGTAGGCAAGAGACCTTCCAAGAGCGGTGACGAAAGAGAAGAACGAGTGATATTTTAATTGTGGCTTTCAAGATAAGGAGCTTTAAGGATCTATTGTTGTAACTGGGAGTCAATTGTGAGTGTCCTCGCGGGCAATGAGATCAGATTTTCACCAAAGCCTGTGCAGAAACAAGTGCCTGAAGTGTTCTGCTGTGTGTTTAAAAGATAACGGGGTGTCCTTCACATCTGCAACTCAAGGAATTAGAAACTCTCATGCTTAATCATATAAGCTATAAATACTAGGTCTCCTGATGCTGTGTCACAGTATCGAAGTACATTAGGGAATGTTCTTGAATTCAGTAGGTTATTGGCATTTTCTGACATGACCCACACTTAGTGGTGCAACTGGTAAATAGTCGGTGCTTGAGAGAGAGTTACTGAGTGACAATGTGCCCAACACAGAATAAGGGACAACAGTGGCCCTTAGCCTTGGCTGCTCATTAGAATCATATGCTGGGCCTTTTAAAAAATCCTAATGCCAGTGGGATGTACATGCCTGAAATCCCAGCAGCTCAGGAGGCTGAGGCAGGAAGATAGCGAGTTTGAAGCCAGCCTCAGCAACTTAGCAAGGCCCTAAGCAACACAGCAAGAATCTGTCTCAAAATAAAATATAAAAAAAGGGCTGGGAATGTGGCTTGGTGGTTAAGCACCTCTGGGTTCAATCCCTGGCACATATGTAAACAAATAAAGAAATTAAACCCCAAAGCCCAGTTCTTACCACAGAGCAATTAGATCAGAATCTCAGGGCCAGGAGGGGAACCAGGCACCAGTAGTTCTTAAAACTCCGCAGATGATTCCAACGTGCATCCAAGACCAGAGTACCACTGCTTTGTGGTCACGTTATTCTAAAATACAAATCTTTCCCCATCATGATCTGGGTTCCACATCCTCTCTGATCAGCCATGAATGAGGCTGGGCAGGAGGTGGTTCCCTCTTTTTTTGACAAGGGAAGTCCTTTCCATGTTATGTTCCTTCCCAGGAAAACTGGCTGCCCCAGGTTTTGAAGGACCGAGAGAGCACCATGATGGGGTGAGTTTTCAGTAGATCCAAGAAACGGTGGGAGAATGAGAGTTTTCAGATTTGAATGGACACCTGCCTTCTATATTAAATTCAACAACCTCATGCTGTGTGTCAAGCCATTCTATTCTGTCACTCTCCTCTTTAAAAGCATTCAGTAGGTCCTCCCTGCTGTCAGAATGCAGCCCACACTCTCTAAGAGTACTTTTGCCCCCTCATGGTGCCCAGCCCAGCTCCTCTTCCAGCCTCATCTTGCACCGCCCGTGTAAGCTCCCACCCTTCCACTCCCAGCCTGACACACTCCCATTCTCCTGCCCCCAGGGTTGTGACACAGCAGGATGCACCATGAACCCTCAGACTGCTATGCCCATCTGCTACCTCCCCAGAAGCCCCTCTGGATTCCAGCCATGGAAATGGAGTCTGTTTTCTCTATTCTTTGCATGTGTTCTTATTAGGTCACAGTTGTGCTTTGTATGGACATGAATGAAGCAATCTTCAAAATAAGATTAGAAAATAACCAAGTCTTGTGGACCAGTGAGGAAGTGGCTAAAAAGATATTATTGGGACAATGGGCATGATGGGAATATAAACATCATCTAGATAATTGTATGGTATCAAGGTTTAATTTCCAGAACTGGATAACTATGGTGGCAACTTAAGAGCCTCATTCTTGGAGAATGCATGCAATGGATGGAGGGACATGGTTTCTGAAACTGTCAGGTGGTTAAAAAATTTATATATAGAAAGAGAATGATAAATGAGGCAACATGCTAACATTGGGTGGATATAAGTAAAGGGCATGAAAGAGTTTCTTGCATTATTCTTGTAACATTTCTGTTTAAAATCATTCCTCCCCAAAGTTTTAAATAAATAGATTGCCTTGGGTGTTCTACCACCACCCCCGTCAAAGCTTGAATCCTCCTATTCACCCACCTAAATGGCTCTCCTTGCAACTGAATTTCCAGCCTATCACTACCTAGCTGCGGCTGGTTGACAGCTAGCAACTGGAGGTTGGTCTTCCCCTTCCCCATCTGTCCACTCAGCTTCCAGGACAATCCCTCTGTCAAGGAGCATCACTTGGGGGCCTCTGCCAGCCTAAGGCATGGCCAGACCCCCAGGCTGCAGGTGCTCTTCCCACTATTAAAGGGTGCACTGGCATGTCCTTGAGAAGCAGCTGAGCCAACCTGATGACACACAGAGGACATCTGATTTGGAAAACATGTGGCCAAGTGGGAACTGACCAACCATGTGACCCTGGACTAGAACTTCACCTCTGCAGGCCTGTCTCTCCTAAGGTATAGAATCATTACTTCTCACTAGTTGATTAGCAGTCTCTCTCCCAGCTCAGTGGAAAGTGGTGACAGTGTAAGAAGAGCTAGCCAACCACCATCCTCCAGATCTAATCCCACCTGGTTGGGTGGTTGGCTTTATCACTGAATGACAGGTGTTCTCTCCTCCCCATCCTGGGGAATCATCAAAGCGTGACCAGGGCATGTCCTCTCCTGGTCCTACAAGCCTTTTATCCTTAAAACAAACAAAAAAATGTTCAGGTCCCACTTACCTCTGAGCAGTGATGATGAAGCTGAGAACTTCCTCTTCCCCAGACAGATGGCTCGTATCAAAGATCACGCTGAATTCATACTAGTGAAAAAGAAAGTTGACGTTTGGCACCAGCAATTATTCCATATTTATGTGTTTGCTACAAAATTCTGCAGCCTGTGATCCCCAGAGGCTCATCAGCATGACCAGCTTTATTTTCTATGCATGGCTTTCACAGAAAAATCCACTCTGATGCCCACTCAGTGAGAGGTACACAGTCCTTTTCAGCCACTGAGGTCTCCCTTAAGGAGGTAACATTTGAACTGCCAAACCAGGACTTTGTAGATTTCTCTTGAACATCTTCTCAATTTTTGTGACATCTGCACATCAGCTGGTGATGTTCACTAAAGCCCCAGCCCCCAAATAATCTTAAGAACCACCTAAAATCACCTTAGTGCCCCAATCCAGTGGTGAGCACCCAGTGATTTGAGGAAGAGTATCTTAAACAGATGGTCTTCACTATATGCACATTAGGCATATGTGCGAGTATGGGAGGGACCCATGGGTGGGGCTTATAGAACCAGGCTCTACCACAAACTGTGATCTTGGCTAGGAAACAATCTCTCTGATAAAAAGAGGAGGTCAGACAAAATGGTTCTTAAGTCCCACTGAGCTTGGAGAGTCTATAACTTATGTATTTAAATGACTTGGGTTCTACCATGATGAATTCCAGGCACTGGTCTGATTTTTGTGACACTGGATCCCACTGAACTGAACGCTGCTTGAGAGTAAGGGGCAGTGGACCATCACATTGGACTGTCATCTAGAGTGGTCATGGATATCCCTCTTTAGACAGAAATTTCTCTTGCAGTGGGACGTGTCAGTTTACAGGGAGGGTGGGGCACAAAGACAGGGCTGGAGGAAATAGAGGAAGGGAAGCGTCAGTGTCTTGTCCCAGGAGAGTCAGAACTAGCAGGTGATCTGAATTAAATTATGTACGTCCAATAAAAATTAAAATTTAAAAAATAAATAAATAAATAAATTATGTACGTCACAGATCAAGGGGATGGGAGAGGCAAACGATTGGGGTGGCAAGCCAAAATCAGAGATGAAAGCCTGGAACTGTGCAGGGTAGCCACAAGTGACAGAAGCATATAGACAACCCAAGAGAGCCAAGTGTAGTTATGAGGCTTGGCAGGTGGTCTGGGGCCTGATGCCCCTCAGGGTCTGCAGGACAGGGGAGTTCAAGTGGGGCCACAGATAGTACCATCATCTTAGTGTGCCCACCTCAGTGGTGAGCACCCAGAGATTTGGGGAAGAGTGCCTTAAAAAAAGGGTTTTCATCATATACACGTCAACCATGTTTGGGAGCTCTGTCCCTACTGGTCACGTGCTGGGCTTTCTGACCCTCTAGTTCCATGTCCCACCTCTGGATTTAGTCTCACTGCACCATCTATGTGCAGGAGAAAAGTAGTAGCATTGCCAACTGAACAAAATAACCTAACTTTCCTATATTCTGTTGGTTCTATGAATATTTTGAGAGTTAGTAAATTTCAGTAAAATCCCACACTCCACTAGAGATGGTAGGACACATCTGAGGTTTGATTTGTGCCATAGGTAAGATTTTATAATGAAATGGCAGGTGTTAAATTTTCTAAGGTTAGTCTATTTTCTGTTGCTCAAAAGGATTTCAGTTCACCGGGGGTTGTCCATGCTTTACTCTGGTCAGAGCTATTCAAGGATCAGGGTCTTTCTCCCTCATCCCCATCAGCATCCCACCTGGAGATTAATGGGACATGGCATGTATTTGGTCAGGTATATATAAATATAAGTCCACTTTCTAAGGGTAGCCACTTCTTGAGGTTCCCCTTCACCTGGAGCAAAAGTAGCAAGAATGAGGAATGGACCCGGAGAAAGACTGAGGAATCATGGACCCAACAGCCACTATTGTTTGGAGCAGGTATGTTCAATGGTGTTGACGGGCTTGAGAATGATTTGCAAAGAAATGAGCAAATCTCCCTCCTCACTAGAACATTCTTACCACTGCTTTATAAAACAGCTGCTAGATACTGGGACCAAAAAGCCTGAGAAATTAAAATGATCTGCTTCTATAACCTAGGCAGGCAGGAAAGAAGGATAAAGCTTTCTTTCCGTCTTTGTTTTGTATTGGTTTTTAGTTTAAAGGGGGAAAAACTATAGACAAAGGATTCCCCCCCCCCCCCCCAAATCAGAGCAGGGAAAATAGCTTTCATTTCAAATGTCAGAGCTGGTCTTTTAGGGTCTAGTTTTGTCTCCTCAAATCTTCTATTCATCTTTGTATCTTCTTATGACCATGGCATATACTAGAAAGCTCTATGAAGGACTGGATCTGCTTTATAGCATTGATCTGCTTGAGCTTAGGAAATCTGTCTCTTTATAAATACCACATGACTGTAGTATCTTTTACTTTTTAAAAAATGAAGTGTAATACATTGTCTGAGAATTTTGAGAGGTCTCCAGAAATTTTTGAGTGCCTAGGGGAGTGACAGAGGCAGGCCTGTGGGTCACTGGCTCAGACCACATCTTCTCCTGGGTTATGTTGGAGACTCAGAGTGGTATGGAATGTTCCAGAAGAAAACATTTCAGGAAGGCCAATTGAGGGCTGCTTGCCAATGCAAAGTGGTGTTTTCTTCCATTTCTTTAGAGAGAACACCATGTGGACCCAAGAGAAAGACAACAGGACCACAGTCCCTCTGGAGTATACGGCCAGTGACAGGAGCATGGCAGGGCCTCAGGGCCATCCCGGCTGTGGTGGGAGGCAAAGGTGTGGGGAAAACCACGGGGGAGACAGTTGCAGAGTCAGAGGCTGCAGCCAAGACGTGTCCCATCTCTGCCCTTACCTTCGACTTTGACCTCATGAAAGGAAACCCCACGCTGCATTTGAGGAAGTCTGATTCCAGCAGCTCACAGGAAATGCCCATCTCCTCCTGAAAGAGAAAACACACAGACAAATGGGCAGACTGCATAGAAGACAGAAGTGTGGGAGTATTTCAGAGCAATTTCCAGACAGCAGTCCCTGGGGCTGCTGGTGGACTAAGCCCTGTGACAAGGCCCAGTCCCCAGTCCTCCTCTGGCTGCCCACCATCCCAGGGGTCCTCCGAGAAGACAAATACAGAGCACAAAAGTACTGTTCACTCTAATGTTTGGGGTCCAAACCACAGGATTGGCCTGGTCAATTGGGCTGAGCTGGAAGCCTCCTAATGTTAAGACTAAAAAGCAACCAAATCATCTTTGTGGCTCTTTTTCCTAAGTCCACTCCCAGATCCTGTCTTTCAAGATGTTGCTAATTTAGGGAAGACAAATTCTAAGAAAATCACACCAAAGAAAAGAAGGCTGCTTTCTACAGCCTGCAGCAGTGAGGTTGAGCTGGCCCCTTGCAAGTCTTCCTAGGTTAGGATGGATGCCAGGGTGAGGAGAAGTTTCTGGCATGGCTGGACTCTGCACATCGTGGCTTGAGAGAGCCCAGGGAGACTGCAGGGAGCTGCCATCTCCCCACCCAGGTGTACTGTTTCTCCATCACAGGAAAGCCAGGAGCTCTTAATGACTAACAGGGCCTCTCTAAGCCATAAAGCCAAATCAAGACTTCCTAGAGGAGACAGTATATTTGCAGATTTTGGAGAAGGAACAGGTACAGAACTCACTCTTGTGTCTACCTTCTATCCAAAGCCAGGATACTGAAGTTCAGTGAGAAAATCATGTAACTTCCTCAAGGTCATTTAGCTGATAGGGCAAAGTTAAAGAAAAAATTGGGTAAATTTTGGATAATTCTAAAATCTATCTCTTTGTCCTCTCTATGGCCCAGAATTTCTAGAGAATGAGCAGAGCCAATGACAATAGCAGCGTAAAGGAACCAACTCATAGATTATGGCCCTGAAATGCTGCCCCATGCTCCTTCCTCCAATTTCCAAGCACATATCTCAGCTCAGACATCAATTCCAGCACTTCAGATTGGCAGAATGAGATTTTTTAAAAATTGTGCAATCAATTGGCAAGAAAACAAACATTTGCCACAATATGTATTTATTTATTTTTTAAATTGTTTTTTTTTTAGAGAGAGAGAGGAGAGAGAGACAGAGCAAGAGAGCGAGAGAGAATATCTTAATATTTATTTTTTAGTTTTCGGCGGACACAACATCTTTGTATGTGGTGCTGAGGATCGAACCCGGGCCGCACGCATGCCAGGCGAGCACGCTACCGCTTGAGCCACATCCCCAGCCCAGTGTCTATTTAAATTATATCATTATTCTAATATATTCTGAGTATTATCAAATGTACAAAAAATAGAAGTGACAAAAGATGAATATCTTCTTTAAGGATGAGTAATATTCCATATTCCGTTGTGTATATATACCACATTTTCTTTACCCATTCATCTGTTGAAGGGCATCTAGGTTGGTTCCATAGTTTGGATATTGTGAATTGAGCTGCTATAAACATTGATGTGGCTACATCACTGTACTATGCAGATTTTAAGTCCTTTGAGTATAAACTCCAGAATGGGTAGCTGGGTTAAATGGTGGTTCCAGTCCAAGTTTTCTGAGGAATTTCCATACTGCTTTCCATAATGGTTGCACCAATTTGTAGTCCCACCAGCAATATATGAGTGAAACATTTTCCCCACATCCTTGCTAACATTATTGCTTGTATTCTTGATAACTGCCATTCTGACTAAAGTAAGATGAAATCTTAGAGTAGTTTTGATTTGCATTTCTCTAATTGCTAGAGATGTTGAAGATTTTTTCATATATTTGTTGATTGACTGCATTTCTTCTTCTGTGAAATATCCACTTTCTTAGCCTATTTATTGATAGGGTTATTTTTTTTTGGTGTTAAGTTTTTTGAGTTATTTATATATCTTGGAGATTAATGCTCTATCTGAAGTACATGTGGTAAATATTTTCTCCCATTCTGTAGGTAAATGGATGGATTTGGAGAATATCATGCTAAGTGAAATAAGCCAGTCCCCCAACCCAAAGGCCTAAGGTCTGATATGAAGAAGCTAATTCACAATAAGGGGGTGGGGGCTAGGAAAGAATACAGGTACTTTGGGTTAGACAGAGGGGAGTGAAGGGAAGGGAGGGGATATGGAGGTAGGTAGTAGAATGAATTGGACATTATTACCCTATGTGCATATATGAGTACATGAACATTGTGAATCTGCATTGTGTACAACTAGAAGAGTAAGAAGTTGTACTCCATTTATGTATGATGTGTCAAAATGTATTTTACTGTCATGTATAACTAATTTTAAAAAAGATGAATATGTAACCTATAGGGTTAGAAATCAAGACAGTAATTAGGGAGGCAATAAGCAGAAGGGGGTTCTTAGGGTGCTGGGAACATTCTCTTTCTTGATTTGAGTGCTGGTTACGTACGTGTGAAAATTTTGTGAAGATGCACCTAGTCGGGCATTTAATGATTTATGTACTTTATGTATGAAACGCCAAGACAACTTTACTTAGAAAACAGCAATAAAAAAAAATCTAAAATACAATTGAAAAAACAACAGGAGACAGACAAAAGGAAACTGCAGTATCTTTTTGGACATCTGATCTTGGAAATAACTGATCTCAATGGTTATTATTTCCCAGTGGATCTCCATGCTGCTCTTCACCAGCATTCCCACATGAAGACCCAGGATCAGCTGCTCAGTATCATGCTGGGAATGTCTTTTAAAATGTAGACCCTGGGCCTCCGTTGAGTAATTATAAGGCGTTTTCAATAAATGTTAAGGGACAAAAGAAGCAATTCTGATGTGCAATGGCTGAATTTGCTTTCCTTTCTTACAGGCTTCCAGAAGAACCTTCTTAAAACATGCCTCTTCCCACTGCAAAGGGAATAAAGTTCAAAACCCTGATCCTGGCTTCCACTTTGGCCCATGCTTTTCTTTGTTGTCCCCATCCCTGCCCCACCTCACACATGCATTTCTATTCACAGACCCTCTGCCTGACATCCTTTCTGCAGTGTTTAAGTCCTCACTGTCAAGACGCCAAAGGTTTTTTCCTCCACCTTGGCCCAAACACTCACAGGCGTGAGAGCACGTATGGAAAGGGAAATGCTCAGGATTCAGGATGGACCCTCAGCACCCAGGTCATCGAATCATGCTTGACACTGAGGATGCGGGTCTGAACAGCATCAGTTCCTGTCCTTGTTGAGCCCAGAGCTGAGAAGGGCGGACCTCTTGGCACAGAGACATTCACGATGGCAGTGTGACAGCAAATGCTAGGGCAGCTCTCGGAACTAGAGGACAGGCCTTGGCGATTTCCATAAGAAAAACTAGAGAATAATTTCTCAAGGGTTATCCCAAGGCCTCATGTCTCAAAGACGGTCACTGGTGATTCACTGCTGTGACCCTTGCCACAGTCTTCTTCCTTCAGTTACTCCTGCTAGAAGCAATAGTGCCCAAATGACCCTATTTGAAGATACTGCAAATCCTAGCTAATTGGTCCAGAGGTAGGAAGCCCAAGTCTAGGGTGACCTTAGCTTTCTTGTTTTTTCTTGGACATTCCTGGTGTAATTACTATGAAGAGCATTCCACATTTAAACTCACATACCCCACTTATCCAACTCAGTTCCCTAACTCCTCTTGTAATGATCAGTACTTCATTGGGAATCTCTTTCAAACCAGGAGAGAGATTTTTCAATTTACGTCACAGGTCTATCTGTTCTTGAAGTAAAATTTATTGCCCCAAAGACTTCAGTTTTTGCATAGGTGTGAAAGAATGACTATAGCTTCAAAATCTACTCTGGAACTCAAGAGAACCTCAGTTTACTTAGCTTTGACCTAAGGCTAATTATCATTATTAAAGAGCTGTAGTACTTTGTTACTGTTAATTCCAAAATGCTAAAAAATAACATTGATTGTGGATTCTTTTTTAGCACTGGGCTTTACACGTTAGCAGGAGCTCTACTAGGGAGCTGCATCCCCAGCTAAAAATAACATTTAAACCAGAGTTTATTTCACCATTCCAAATCTTCTTCCACCAAACTCAAATAAAAATTTCAAAATTCTGGTTGGATCTTGATGAGGACAAGCAAAAAGAGCAAAGGTGTCTCTAGAAACCAGAGAACAGACCATCTGGCTCCTGCCTCTCGTGCTTCCATGATGCTGCTACAGGAAGGAATCCCACAGTGTCCCTTCTGCACTGTTAGCACCAACATAGATGCCTGCAGCCACTGAAGCTTCCCTGGCCAAAAGTCTTTAATTCCACACCTGTCTCTCCTAGAACAGCTGTTCTGCACAGCAGAACATGGACTTTGGCAAATACCAGGACTCCTGTGTAGATGGTGTCAGTGTTTCCCCAGAACTGTGCCCAGCTGCATGGGAGTCACTTTGCCTGGGAGGTTATAAAGTCCTCCCCAGCAAGCATTTGGCAACCTGGCTGACGTGGGTACCAAAGGACCTCCTGTTGCCTCAAGATGGGACCAACTCTGTGGTGCAATTCCTGTTCCACATCTAAGGAACTGAGCCAAAGCAGTCGCTAGCTGAGACTTCATTCTTGTATGTTTCCCTCCTTTGCCTCATTCTGTCCCTCCACTCTTCTCCTCCCAAGGTAATTTCTCCAATAACCACCTGCATAGGAATCCCCATCTCATGTGATGCTTCTGGGGAACCTGATCTCAAGGAATACCCTTCCCAGGTGAGGCTCCCAGCACTGGCACTGAGAGCCATTGGGACATGCTGGGCATTTGCTCCCAAGGGGGAGAGGGAATGAATGAGGAATAAAGGAATACTTTTGTGTTTATTAATGCTAAATTGGTTGATTCCATACTTAAAAAAAAAAGGAGGGAGGGAGAAACTGTTTTAACCACAGTTTATAAAAATCCACATGGCTCTACCCTATGAGGAAGACAATTCGAGTCAAGGCAGCTTCAGTACCTCTTTGTTCTCTAGGGTTCAGGTCACGTCCAAGCATAGCTTTAAAAT